AAGGTGGACAAACAGGTGTGTGTAAGATTGCATGCACGCATGTTTGTGTGTGCGTGTGCACATGCACATGTGTGTGTGTGAGACAGAGAGAGAGGGAGAGAGGGAGAGAGGGAAGGAAGAGAGGAGGGAGGCAGGCAGATAGACAGACAGGCAGAAGTAGGAGAATCAAGGTCATTCTCAGCTACATAGTGAGCTTCAGGCAAGACTGGGAATCATGAGACTCTGTCTCAAAATAAAATAAAGCATAGAATAGAGGCGAAATTTTAAAATCTGTGGTTTGATTTTTGTGCTGCTTGCTGGCATTTTTGGCCTCAGGACTCAGCTCAGGCATTATGCTGGTCTGCCCCTGTCACCTGGCAGAACGCACTCAGGCAGTACCCTGGTCAGCCCAGGGTTCTATGACTACTAGTCTGCACGCAGGTGCAAAGGACCCCTTTAAGACAAATACACAACTCCCCTCCCAACACACACACTAGTGCTCCTTTCTTGCTGTTCCCCTGGGACAAACAGGAATTTTCTTGTCTCCCTCTTCTGTCCTCTCTCTGTCTCTGTCTCTGTCTCTGTCTCTGTCTCTGTATCTCTTTACCTCTTTTCTCTTTCCTTCCCCCTCCCTCCCCTTTCTAATAAGCTCTGTCTGCCAGGCGTGTTTGCCCCCACCTCGGTCACCCTCACCTACCATGGAATCTGCCAAGGTTCCCCTATGCAAGGTCCCCTATGCACTTTATCATAACAATGATTCCTCAGCTATAACCAATAGTCCCCTTGGCTTCCTCTGTCTATGGAGGCCATTTTCCCCATCGGATTTCAGTCCCACCTGGATGTTCCATCAGGTTCTAGAGGTACAGAACCCTGCCTGAGCCCAACCCTCCGAGTCAACACTGCTTTCTCCCACAGCCCTGCACTACTCTGTGAGGCTCTGGGGGCAACCAGAATCTGACCTCCGAATGTTAGGGAAGGAACTCATCCTTGTAGTCTCTGCAGTGTTGCTTGAACAACCTTCCTGCTGTTTCCATTTCACAGCCCTGGTCTTCCTTCTAGGGCAGTGGTTCTCAACCTGTGGGTCATGACTTTCCCAGGAGCTGTCTACGTGTCTAAGACCATCAGAAAACACAGGTAAGTTTACACTATGATTCATAACACCAGCAAAATCACAGTTATGAAGCAGCAACGAAAATAATTTTATGGTTGGGATCACCACAACCTGAAGGGCTGTATTAAAGGGTAGAGGCATTAGGAAGACTGAGAACCACTGCCCTAGATACACACAGCCTACCCAGTGTCCCTGCATTCACAGAGCTCCTCATTCCTAGGGAGAGGCTGAACCCAAGCCTTTAGAGTGGCTGGTGCATGGAGGACACACACTTATCCCTTTCCTTGCCTTAAAAGAATCCTTGACCAGAAGCAAAATTAAGGTATAAGAAGCTCATCTCATATTTTCTATATAAAAAAATAAAAAGAGCAACTCTACCACCATCTCTGACTCCAGAGGCTCTCTGAGAATGAACCCTGCCTCTGCCATTGCCAAGATCAGATTCCCTTCTTTTAGAACCACAGGCAAACAGGCTGGCAAGAGGCACCATTGTACCAGCTGATTTAAATTGAAGTGTTTTCCCAAGATAAATGTGTGCTAAATAATACACCAGCTCTCCAACCAAAGGGAAGTGACAGGCACTCTGTAAATAAAGGCACTTAGTTGCTGGTAAAGAGCTGTAAAGTGGTTCTGAGCTGATGTTTGCTGACCAGCAAGAAGCAGCTTCACCTGCTTTATGCAATTGTCACTGCAGTTTCGCCTGCTGTATATTAAAACTGCATCTCATAGACCCAAATGTCACATTGAATACACCATCCCACATGGAATGCGCCACCTTTTGCCATAATTGTTTTTGACAAGCAGCCATCACATCTCATCTCTTTTCAGAGTGTCTGGTCCAGAATCCCTAGGCTGGGTCAGTTCTGACACCATGTGGGCTAGAAAAGCGACACTCAAAGGGAGGTCTTAGAGACAGGACACAGCAGGGACTTTCAGCTCCACTGTCTAGTACATGACTAAAAGGAACTCAAAGAACTGGGTACAGGGTGAACTCTAGAGGTAAGCTGTGGGGACAGGACACTTCTTGGTGTTGGGAACTGCCACTGCTCACTGCCACTGAGCTATTGGGGTGATACCAGAGGATGATGCAGAGGCCAGTGATAGGATAAGAGAAGGCAGAGTGAAGAAGAAAGGTGAAATATAGCTTTGGCTATATGTTGTGTCCTTTGCTGGCTTCTAGGAGGCTCCTGTTGAATTCTAACCCTGACCCAAGGCTAAGAGAAATGCTGCCTGCCAGGCATGTACCCCATCCTCTGCCTTCCTTTGCTACTGGTGTACCTTCATTCACTTAGGCCATGAGAACAAATGCTGCATGTTAACTGGATACCAGCAACAGAGAGCTCCTTCTCACTCTTCTGGATGCTGAGACATCCCTGATCAAGACTCTCTGATTCGTATATGGTGCCCTCTTCCGTATTCTCCCCATGGCAGTGGGGATGTTGGGTCTCTCTAAGGTCTCTTTTTACACAGTTACCAATCTCTTTCCAGAGCTCTGGTTTCATGACCGGGTTACCTCCAAAAAATCTTCCCTTTCCAGCCCACCCCATCTAGGGTTTGCATTTCAATACACAAACATTCAGGCTGCCACAGCTGTGCACTTTCACACTCAAAACAAAAGCTTCCCTTCCTTTCTTCCTCCCAGAGAAAAAGGAATGTCTCCTCTCCCTCCATGTCTCTTGCTAAAACTTACTCCCTTTGCTTATTCCTGATTTTCTTAACATCAAGGCCTTTGAGCACAGGGGAAAGGGAGCATTTTGTCAGTTTGGATATTTTACAGAGTCTGAGGTGGCATGAAGTTGGCAGGGAGCTGGGAGGGGACGACTGTGTCAAGTGCACATGTGACTACACATTGGTGCAGTGTCACACATCTGCAGGCCTTGGGGTCATGACTGTACAGGGAGGACACAGACAGGCAGGGGAAAGGAAAGGCTTTCCTGCCATCTCTGTTCTCAGCTTCTCTACCCAAGGGGAGAACTGCTCCTTTCAAATCTTCCAATCCCCTTGCTCCCCCCCTCCCCAGGACAGGAGGCATGTCTGAACGAGCTGATCAGCCTGTTCAGAGCACTGTGTTTGCTAGTGTGAAGATTTCAACAGCTTTAGAGCAGCTTGTACCAGTCACCCAGGGATCTCATTAGAATGCATATCTGACAGGTACTATAAGATGGGCCATGAGATGATGCATCTCCAACAAGCTGCCCCAGGTGATGCTCACACCAGGGTGAAGGTGAGGAAGACAAATTAAAGAGCCAGGGCTTCCAGGCAGCTACCACATACCAGCTTGCTGCACTCACCCCCTGGAAGGTCAGATTACCATCTCTCGTCTCTCACATCCATGACCCCCCCCCCCTCCGTGTTCTCCAGGCAAGCTGGGCAAGTTCTGTTTCCTGTGCATGCAGCCCGGCAGAACTCGGTGTCTCTTAGGGCCTTGGCATGTTGCTGTCTTGCATGGCTGCACCAAGTGTTACATTTGGGAGTATTGGGTAGGATGGTGGAATGGAGAGGTCAAAATTGGGCCTCAGGCAAGGTTATGTCAGAAAAATGAAAGCTGGAAGTGACTCAGCTAAAATTGGAGACTGATCCAATCTTCAGAAGAGTTGCAGAAACCCAAGTTAAGGAGGCCCCAATTTGCCACTCCACAGGCAAGAGCAAAGTGGGTGGTGTTACAACCTGACCTAAAGCCACAGTGAATCTGAAAAGCCACCCCCCCAAGGTCCTGCCTCTTTTCCCAGGCCCCAGCAGCAAAGCCACTAATGCTCAGGACATTCCTGAAGAGTGACTTTGACTCTCCAGTTGACTCCAGTTTGACTCTCCAGGGCCCCACTTTGAAGCCTCAAGGCCTCTCCTTCCGTTTCCCCAATCCCATCTCAGCCTTCCTGTTTCACTGGTGAACTCTTACCCAGGACCAGTGCAAGGAAGAGAACCTGAAACCAAGAGACTTTCGGGTACTGTGGTGTTTTGCTTTCATGGAAGAAGCTAGAAGCAGATGGTAAAACTGGGTTGTTCAAAGATAGCAGAGCTCCGCAATCCAGTCAAGCCTCCAGACAGGACTGCATGTGGCGCTGTACCCACCCCCAATAAGGAGTTCCCACCCCAGCACTGCAGACTTCATGGGCTTTGCTTCCTGGAATGACAGGAGTCAGGCCTCCCAAGTCAGCAGTCAACCACACCCGTCCAGTAGGCCTTGCATGACCCACGTAGAGCTGTCACTCAGAGAAAATACTTCATCTCCTATCCTTCCTGATGCTGATAGTCAAGGCCACTCGTTATGGGCTTGCTTGCTGTGCTGATTCCTTCCCTGTGCCGAACCACCTGTCCAGGATCCCAGAGCAAATGACAGGGAAGGCTGGGGCCAAGAGAAAAGGCAGCTGTGTCACTTAAGGCTTCTGTGCCTCCTGTAGGAAAATGCACAGGTCAGCAAGCATCACTCCTTGCTACATGGCTTCAAGTGTCTGCACTAGTCCTATTCTTTAGAGATCTCTACCCTTGATCTTGGATGTAACCCTAACCATAGCAAAGCTTAACACTCCCATTTCGGCTTCCCGGAAAAGCACTCATGGGCACAGGGCAGAGAAGTATGCAGCTGGAATCTTCACATTGCTCTGGCACTTAGGCAGTGAGCCTGGTCATAAAGCCCATTGTTTGTAAAGGCCAAGAGGGTGACCATTTAAAGACTCTTTCATTGCCACAAAAGGCAACAAACTGGGGAAGGCAGACAAACATCAGGGTTCAGGTATACATCTCCAGATGGCAGGAGGAACAGATGCTCCTCTGTAAGCCATTGTGGCGACCACAGGTTTCACTGCCAGACAGGCTGATGTGAGCCTCTTTGAATTACTAAGTGAAGGATATCCCTCTTGCCAGCCCCTGTCCCCCATAGGCACAGCAGAGAAGTATTACAGGCTGTCCTTACCTTGGGAATTAGCCTGCAAGACCCCGATGCTGTCATCAAACTGCATAGATTTGATGTTGAGTGACGCCAAGATGCATTCCTTGTCCTGAAGCGAAGTATCATCAATATTATTCTGATTGGCTGACAGGATAACGCACATGTCACAGAGGTTGATGTTGACAGCCCTTAAATCAGCCCGACTTAATGGTGTACCCTTTGGCATGTGGGTGGGGGTGGGCAGGGAGAGAGAGAGAGAGAGAGAGAGAGAGAGAGAGAGAGAGAGAGAGAGAGAGAGAGAGAGAGAGAGAGAGAGAGAGAGGAGGGAAAGAAGAAAAAATAAAAACAAATTAAAGACTGAGCCGGAGCTTTGGGACATTATTTAACAAGTATCTTTTTTATGTCTTGACATTAAGCTGGCCTAACTACATTTCAGGGAATAAGGGCTGCACGCTAATCTAAAGGGTAGTCTGTGCTGATGGCAGCATTTCAGGCCAGCTCTCAATACTCAATCAAGCTATTACTAACAAACGAGAGACGAATAATGCCAGGGTCTACATCTTCCTCCTGCCTGGAAATTGTCTTGATTTAAGTAACTGTCCTGTGGCAACCTCTGCCTTTCAGAACATAACAAGGGGGTGGGTTTCAAATGCCTGTTTATTTAATAGCAGGTCACTTCTGTCTCTGGCAAAAGACAGCATAGCCGACCAGAATTTCCAAAGCAGCCATGGGGAAATCAGCAAAGCAGGGTGTGATGAGGTGGGGCTCGTGGTTCTGCTCAAATGGGAGGCTGTGGGAGCCAGTGGAATTAGTGTGCATCTTGCAAATGGGAGAGGGCAAGCTTTGGGTTATAAAATTTTATTGCATATTTTTCAGTAAGAAAAAAAGTCAAGGAAACTACATAATTATCCAACAACATAAGAGTGATTAAATATATTATGGACACATACACAACTGACAAGTGTACTACAAATGTTGCCAGAACTTATTGAGTTGGAATAATTTCCAAGATAAAGGAATTAGGAAGAGTGGGTAGATGGGGTTCTAGAACAATTTAAAAGTATACCTCCATTTATTTAGAAAAAAACAAAGCTGCTTGAAGTAAAAATTATATACTTACAAATGTATGTAAATTCAAAGAGAAAACTCAGGAAAAACTTATACACTAAACTAATAACAGTAATTACCTCTGGGAGAGGAAAGGATGAAGTGGAAAGTTTGCTTTTGACTTTATATACTTCTATATTGCTTGAATATTTTATAACAAGAACAGATTTGTATATTACCGGTGCAATTAAAAATAAATAAGGCAGTAAACAGAGTTTTTTAAAACCACATAACAATGTGAGACAGTAGAAAAACCTTTGCAGATCCAAAGTTAATGATGGAGAGCAGTCATGTATATGATAGAGAGAAAGGACAGCACTCTCACCTGCTGTCCTCCTAGGGAAGTTGCAGTAGAACTTCCTGGAATATCCTGGGTCAGAAAACCCAGCAGCCAAACAGCATTATTTTGGGGGTCCCATCCAGCCATCAGCACCATTGATCCTCTAGGTTTATTTAAGCTTCTCTTTGTGTTTATGGATACCCCAGGAGTCTTCAACCTACAGCCTGCATTGGCCAAGGGTTTGCCAGCTGTTGTATGCATCTCCTATTGTTCCCATCATTAGATGGGCTTTGGGAAAATAGGACCTAGATAAAATTATGGAGCCTGTTGAACCTTCTTATGACTCAATGGATGCCATGACTCTATTCCAGGACTCCTAAATAATGCCACAAACTAGAGCCATAGTGCAAGAGCATGTAGGGTTATAGGTTCAAAAATGTCCTAGTTCAGGCACTGGAGCAGTATCTTGCAAGAAGGAGAGAAACGCCATCTTTTATGATCTCTTGGTACAAAATTAAGTGTGACCAACTTTCTTTATCACATTGCTATGTATAAACAACAGCTGTCTATGTCCATATTCTTTTTATTTTCACCTTGTAGGAAATCCAGCAGTAATTGTAATATGGGAAAACATGTCCAGTTGTAGACATAGGATTTCAAACCACAAATACACCAATGACATACACAGAAAGTTTTTGTGTTCCTTTGGCCTGCCCTTATATGACTGACTTTAAATAATGAAGATACAGGTCAAGGCTTTTAATGTACCAATCCACTGTGCTTAAGTGTGCTAAATTTGGGGGGATCTGTAAAGTCTTTGCGACTGTGAGACTCCTCCCAGCTTGCAGAGGGAGGTGAGTAAATGTGAAAGCAGCAAACAGAAGGAAACACACATAAGCACAAATACCAGAGGTCATACCACACGGCCCACCTGTATACACACACACTCAAGCACCCACCAAATCAGTTCACTTTTAACAGAGTTCACTTCAAATGTCAAGAGATCACATGGAATAGCACATGTAAGATAGTAATCACAGAAAGGTATAATCAAAATGATCATGCTTCTTCATTTATCAATGTATTTATAGCATATGTGCATGCTTGTCCAGCAAGTGAATTATAACAAGTGATCATCTTTAACTACATGCATACATTAAAAGTCAGGTTGTAGTTGTGAATCCAAAAAAGATCTAGAGCTTTTAGACCTATATGGGGAATTTATTGTACCAAGCATTAAGGGAGATACATACAGCTACACTGGAGTGCTGACTTGGACAGCCCCTTACAGATTCTTTAACACGTCATATTTGTTAGCTTGCATTGTCACATTTCTGAGGTTCTGGAAGCTGATAAGTAGTAGGAAAAAAAACATGCCTCTTGACGACTAAGGGGTTGCTTATCCATAAATATTATGTTAAAAATAGTAAAATAGTTGGAGGAGCCATGTGGTGGTGGCACATGCTTTTAATCTCACCACTCAGGAGCCAGAGGCAGGCAGATCTCTGTAGGTTCAAGGCCAGCCTAGTCTACATAGTGAGTAACAGCCAGAGCTATATGGTAAAATCTGTCTTAAAAACAAACATCCAAAACTGATAAATTATTGGATGATAGGTGATATTTTCCTGATTTTGTGACATAGACAACTACATAAAATTTGAAAAGAATAATCTTTCAAATATTTTATGAAGAATATATTATAATTTGAAAGTGGCTAATTATATGACTTTTAAATCATTCATCTCATATCTTTACATTAAATTATGGAGTCCCAAATTGTTTTTTATAGATTGGTATCCTACTGATCTTTGTAATAAAGATTTTATATCTATATAATATATATTATATAAGTATATATAATTTGTATATACACCATATATACACACATACATTTGTATATGTATATACATACATACAAAACAAAGCCATGGAAAACATTGCTGGTTTTCTAAACAAAGGGTGAATAGAGGTTGGTGCACAAAAGAGGTTTAGAAATTCTGTACAGTATTGATAATTCTACCCTTTATTTAATTGGTTATGTCAGAAGGAAGATGGGACAGATCAGCAATTTTCTAAGCATTAACCATGTCAAATTAAAATGTCAACGAGAATTTTGTAAGTGAATTCTTGGTGTAAATATCAAAACATTGTACATTTCACCTAGGAAGAGAATTTAGACACTGACATGGTTAATGCATGTGATGGTAGTGCAACCTCACCCCTGGCAAGGGGCTTCACTGGGCGGCAAATTCCTTTTAATAAGGCCTCCTAGGGTTTTGAGTTTCTTAGCAGAGCACAGAAGGACCTCAGGCCTGAAACCACATGAAGGAGCAGAAACATGATCAAAGCTTCAACAATTACAGTCACCTGGGATTTCCTCTTGTGAATGAAAACATGAAGAGCAGAACATCAAATAGTGTGACCCTGACTTACAGGCAATATGGACACCTTGGGGAAGTTGTGCAGTGTTTCCCACTCTCGCTTGAGGTACTCGATGGAGCCCACAAACACAATGTGTTTGAGCTCATGGTAGTGAAAATTGCTAGCACGGAGTGGCATCACCAGGTTCCGGAGGCCAATCAGGGCTGAACTGACATCCCCAAAGATGCAGACTACAACATGGCCACTCAAGACAGTCATGGCAGCTTCACTTCGTGTCTGTAACAAAAGTGCAAGACTATCAGAGAGAAGAGCTCCCAACATTGATCTAAGAGAGAAAGCATCATTTAAGCAAAGGAGAAAGCTAAACATTGGCTGAGTGCTTACTGTGTACCATTGCTGTGCAATTTACAAATGGTCTGAGTGTTCCCCACGGGCCCATTGCTATTAAAGTCTTCATCTCCATGGTGGCATTATTATATGGCAGAACTTCTATGAGTTGAAGCTACTCCTTATTGGATGTGTGGTACAGTTCTGAGAGTTCTTATGCAACTTCTTAGTTCCCCAGAGATAATAAGTATGAAAAGAGCAAACCTGGACATACCATTTATCTCTGGTCATGTTTGCTTCTACATACCCCTGCTATGAGCATCCAGCCTCACCAGAGACCAGGCAAATGGGAGAGCCCAACATGAGACTTTGAACCTCTTAAAGACTGAGAGCTACCTTTTCTCTTTATGAGTTAGCTGTCTCAGGTATCTTATTACAATACCACCAAGGTATCCAATACAGCTATGATTTGTACTACAATAAAACAAATGTTTAATTTAATTCAGAATAAAAGAAAAGGAGTGATTCTTCAAAATCATATATAAAATTGAACAAGGTACTCATTCTAATGGATAGAAGTATATTAGGGGAAGGGAAAAGGATAAAAACATAAAACTCAGGTTGCCAAGTCTTGCAGTACAATTTTTTAGGAAGTCAAACACTGGTTTAAACGTCCATCTCCATCAAGTTAGAGAGCATATAAATATTCCTAATAATTTTAGTGCACATGGAGAGAAAGCATTATTTTTCCTTCTTGATTCTATTTATTGCTAAAGAATATGTAAAATAATGGCAAGACTTACAAGACAGCTATTATTTCTACTTTGTCATTATATACATGTTATATAGTCACCTCTAATTTGAGCAAGGACATATATTGTACTTATCTCATAAATTCCTGTAAACATATACCCACACATTACCAATCCTTCTTGAGCAAAATATTTAAGAAGGATGTGTCAGGTAGACTTGTGAGCAGGAGACAGGGCAAAACAATCTTTAGGAGAACAAAGAGAAAAGGGGGGGATGTTTGTGTATGTGGGAAAAAAGGAAGCCTTCATGTCCATGACATGGTTGATTAACTTAGATGCCTTTTTAGACATCTTTTGTTAAGATGATGATTAAATGGTCCTATTCATTGGTTTATCTTTGCTGAAATCTGGGGTTCTCTTTCTTTGATGTTTCAGTGAGGTGGAATAGGCCATCATAGTATCAGTAGATAGAATGGGATATCTGAGGCCACAGGCTGCTGCTGTGATCTGTAGACTCAATCTGATGATATCCCATAAGCTTCTTCTATACATCTACTGAGTAAAAACCAGTTTTTAAAATTCACAATGACTAAAAAGAAAATCAAAATTAGAAATGTCATTATGAGTGATAATAATATGTAATTCACATTCTAATAAAGTTTTGCTGGGACACAATCAACTCATAATGTTTAGTATTTCCCATGGCAACTTTCATAGAAAGCAGAGTTGACCTCTGTGACAGAGATCATATGGCCTGTGAGACTTAAATTGATGGATATGCTCATCTATAGAAAAAGTATGCTGATCCCATGTTCAAACTTCGAGGTTTCCTGGATCATTCCTGGAAGGGCTTGCATTGTATAAAAACCCACAAATAGTCATCACAAGGGTCTAGAGGCCAATCAGTAAAGATAGAGACCAGTGTCTTTCTCCAGCCCCAGTCCTGCATCCACAAGGCTGACAGAGGAAGGAATACTCCCAGGTAAGGAAGACCATGGTTACCTGGGAAGTACAAATGGGCATCTGCCCATTGCTGGTCTTTTATTCATCATATAGGTGAAAAGAACAACAGGATGAGGCCAGAGTGGGGGTGGTTCCTTGTTTATCCTTCTAGTCAACACTTTCACCCTGTCTGCCATCTTTTCTGTTCTTCACTACATGCTCATAAGGACCCGGGGACTGGGGCAAGCATGTTAATGTCCACTGTGGAGATCAACCTCTTGCCTGATTTAATCCCTAGCATTGACCAGGGTATTGATTGCTTACATGCCAATATTGCAATTCACAACAATGTCAGGTTATTACAGTAACCCCTAAGGACAGGACAGCTTTCATTCTCCGATCATTAGAATGAAGCAGGAGCTATCATCATTGCTGGTTTCCCAGAGCAGAAGGGAAACCTGAGACATAAGGTGTAAGAAATTTCTCATGGAAGGTGACTGAGTAGGCTCCCATGAACCTCCCATGATCTCACCCCACTCTGTGGGGAAGACACGAGTTAGTTAGTCAGGCTGCATAGAAGTGCCAGTCCCTGAAGCCAGATGCAGAAAGACAAGCCCTCTGGGGTGTGCTATCATTAGGCTCCTGAATATTTTCAGTTGACCTGGTCACCTAAGAAGCTAGTTGCCCTCAACAAGAATGTACAAATGCTATGAAGAACGGAAACTGGAGATCAAAATGCAAAAATGAGCAGAATGGTACAGGCACAGAAGATAACCTCGGGAGCTTAGGCCTGGGCAGTTACCAATTGTCCAATATGCCAGAGCAATACCCCTGGAGATGTATGCCAAGCTCCAGTCCTGCACCTCAAACCTGGAAAGTCTGAATTTTCCACACTTAAGACCCAATATGAAACCCTTCAGGTGTCTCTCCACGCACCTTTCAACCCCTTGAGTATTGCCTACTTGTACTCTGTAGGATAACCCTGGCTGCTTTAAATCTACACTGGTGCTTACTCCATGGATCTGAAGAACAATTTGTAACTCATCCCACTTAGTGTCAAAAATTTTGTTTCATCGTTGATTTTATATCTCCTTTCCAATTAGAGGGCTGTCTCTGCTGTATGCAAAAAACTTAAAGGCACTAGATTGCGGCACTCTGTGGATAGTGGGTTCCCATAAGAATCTCCACATACGTACCGTGCCTCCATTCTTCTCATTTACTCATTGGATAAAAATTCCATCTACTCCTTACTACAGAGAGGCTTTCTTGGATCATAGCACCTCTGGACTCTGCCCTTCCCAGGATCCTGTTTTATTTCTTCAAAAAGTCCTCATTCATATTGAATCTGTTCTCATGGACTCATTCACCTTCCCACAGGCCTTCCCTTGGCCCCACTAGAATACAAGTTCTGTACATCATTAGAAGAATGGTACCTAACACATGGTGTGTTGGCATCAGTGTTTCCTCAAGTGATGCTGTTTTTCAGATGAACTTGTCCCCCTAAATTCCTTCCTTCTATAGGGGATATTGATCACATGTCAATTCAGAACATCCTGGACCCAGATGAAGTCTGCAGTATATGACTAAGCCATAGATGACCAACAACAGAGAATCTAAGTGGTTAGAACTGTCTCCCCTTCTGGCAAATCAAGCAGTGGTTGTTTGCTGAGCATTTTGACTCATGTAGTTTAGTCTGCAGACTTCACAACTCGGAGATGCCTCCAGCACAATGCTGTATTGGCTCACAATGCTCATTTATAATTAATTTGAAAACACAAACACTAGCTAGCTAAAATACAGTGGGGAAATCTAGTGGATTAGCACACAAAACAATTCTGAGGATCTCAAATAGTCCTTGTTAAGGCAGGGTGGCCCTGAAATTGAAAATGATAGGTTTTTCCTAGCTGAAAATGAAGTAGGCCCACAGCCATCTGGCGATTAGAGGCATAAGGGAGAAAGAGGCCTGTCTGACTGGTCTTCCTGACTATTAACCGTTTTTCATGAATTGGCAAAACAATAAACTCTAAGGAAGTCAATGTAGCCACTGAAACCTAAAGTTGTTAATAGGACAAACATAAAGGGTGCTAACTTTCCTGGGACAGAAAAGGAGAAGCCTGCTATTTCTAAAGGTGTTCACAAGCCATCGCTGAAGCAGTGTTCAGAGTTCTGGATGGTAGACCATAGTCCTACACTGTCATCCTTGGCAAATGCTCTGGTCTATCTGTATCATGTGTGAAGGACTGAAAACTTGTTAGGGTAAGAAACACTACTGTAGGTCTGAGGAGATGGCTTAGTTGATAAAGCACTTGCCACATGAGTACGAGGATCTGAGTTTGATTACTAGTACCCACATTAAAAAGAAAAAGCTGGAGACAGTGATGCATGCCCAAAATTTTAGTGCTAGGGAGGTGGAGACAGGATCCCTGAGACTCACTGGTCCAACAGTCTAGCTGAATCAGTGCGCTCCATGTCCAGTGAGAGACCCTGCCTCAAAAGAAACAGTAGAGCGTGATTGACAGATACACCTAACATTGGCTTCTCCCCCCCCCGCCATCTCTTTCTCACACACACACACCAAGGATACACATGAACACATAATACAACAAAACAAAATTTCTTATAACAGAAAACAGGGCAGGTACTAACTATTCCTATGTTTCATGGCATTTAAAAATAATCACGATAATGTCAACAAGTAGGAGAAAGGTGCTTCTGTGGAACCATGTGCTGGGTTTCACCACATTTCTATGAAGTTAGAGTAGTCCTCATCCCGCCTCCTTACACATGAGGTAATTAAAATGCATTGTCCAACAACTGGCCTAAGGCCATGCAACTAACAGATGGCAGGCAGGGCCAGACACTGGCCCCAGAGCCACATGAGGATCAGGGATATTGTGCATCATGATACCTGTGACAGCACATAACCACCACTATTGTCCTCAGAAAAACTTAGAGAATGAAAAGTCTGCTCTTGAGAGAATAAACAATAATAATTCTGCTCTAAACTAGTATTATGATCAGTGATCTCGCCACTTCAGTCCCTGGTCAGAATTTTAGTCATCAAAAATGGCTAGGGCAAGTGACAGTGGCCTGTACTATTCATTAGGAAACCTTCACTCTGAGTAAAAGTCGTCACGCCAGGCAGAGGGGAAGGACATCCATTCCATGTTTCCTCACTCACCAGGATGACTTTTTCAATCTCCTTGGGTGCACACCAATGAAACATTCCAGTAGAGTCGTACTTTTTCACGTTGGAATCCATGTTGTCAATCTGGTCATTGCCAGGAATTAACAAGGGGTCATGCCTGGGGAGAAAAGGCAGGGAAACCTAAGTGGAAAATGTGATAAATTATAAATGCAAAGGGTCCCCCTGAGTCACATCTCAGAGGAGATGACAGATGCGCAGAAACTGGTTGTCCCCAATGGCCATCTTCTGTCCGGCAGAACACATCCTTTGAAAGGCAGCTGCCCAAACCACACACCCCTCTGGAAGGGCACGTGACTTTGTCAGGTAGTAACTTTGCCTTTCTCCTGCCAATTGTATAAATGGGCTTCATGTCATTTTGTGGTTCCAGCTTCACTTTTTATGGCTATCCCATACCTTGTTGTCTCATTTTACCAGCTATCCAGTTTCCCCAGCACACACACACACACACACACACACGCACACACACACACACACACACACACACACACACACACACACAAAAAGGCTGCTATTAGCATTGGCAATGAAGAGGAAGGAATAGGAACAGAGCCTCATGCTGGCTGACTGGCATCAGGATGGAAAGCCAATTACTTGCTCTTTCTGACTACAACTTCTGACGCGATGCTCTTCGCAGTAAAAGCTTTAACAGGCTGCACTTTAAATATTTTAGCAATTTGCCCAATCAGATTTTGCTCTCCCTGGCTGAAGCCCTTTAAAGATTCAACAGTGTGTCACTTCAGAGCAGATTGACTACCAAGTGCCCACATCTGGAATACATGATTCAATACTAAACAACACCCTCTCTCCTCACCTTGACAACTGTATTTGTGCTTAACTGTCCAGTGATGGGGCCCCAAATCCCTGCCTTCATTTCCCAGCATAGCATCCCTTGGATGAGAGCCTCGAGGTCTGATGCATCTTAATAAACTTGCTTCAAATTCTCAAGACTACATCCACTCCTTCTGGAAGGATGGCTGTATAGAAGCCGCCCCTCCAGTGAGTTGGTGGGGTCTAACAGACAACTTAGGAATTACAATGAAATCAAGCAGCTCTACCATGTCTACAGTATAATAAACAAGCCCTCCAGCTCAGGAGAGAGTTGTCATCTGTGGCTCTAGCTCTACTATAGTCAGTATCTGAGTGTATGGGAAGTCCTTCTGGGCATCTATGTGCACCACTAACCACATATAATTAAGATATTATCCCAAGCAGACCTATTCGGCAACAGAATTATCTCCATTAAGCAAAATGTCAACCAAAGACAGAAAACAGAAATAGATTCAAATTTCAAAATGGTATAGGGAAGTGATGCTACCTTTAAAATAATCTATTTCAAACATTAAGGGATAATATTTATTTATGCTTTAATATTTCTTTCTGAGAAATGCCTCATGTCTCTCATCTCCATGCTCTGACTATAGAGGGTATGGTAACAATCTCTCTAATCTGGTCTAATGTCAGAATTAAGCTTGTGGCTATCTAGTGGGACCTGTCTATTATGTCTTCTACACACAGAGAATATAGGAAACTCAGGGCATGCTTTTATTCTCAGCAATTTGCTTTGAGGCCACAGCAGATGACAAATACCATGTGATGCCATCCTGTGGAGTCATCTTCAAGGAGCATGCTAGATTACTCCAGGAACTGTCATATCTGATCTTTAAAGGAACAGAACAACCCAATTCAGAGTAGCATCTCAGTGGCCTGGTTGTTGAGAAGTCTTCAGGGCTATAAACTAGCACCTATGTGAGATCCCTGAAAGACATGTAAGGTGTATAGAGAGAACAAACTCCTTGTGGTTGTCCTCTGACTTCTATACACGCTGGCATTTGTGTTCCCACCCCCACCCCCACATACACCATAGACACACCTATGCACACCCTTACACACACACACAATAAATTAAATTTTAAATGCTAAAAAAGAGGGGGACAATTATTGGGTTTAAAAACTGACTTAAACTGGTCATAGAACATGGTTGTAGACATAATTTGATGGTTTGGGGACAAAGAGGTAGTGGTTCAGTGGGTAAAGATTTTGCTGCACAAGCATAAGGACCTAACTTCAGATTCCAAGCCCTGCCCTGCAGAAATGTGGCTCATGACTATATCCCCAGGATTGGAGGGAGAAGACAGGTGGGTTCAGGCAGCTAACTGTCCAGCCAGCACAGCCAAGTTGGTGAGGTCCCCAGAGACATTTGTATTACAGAGTAAAATGGAGAGCAATAAAGGAAAACATAGGACCTCAAGCTCTGCACTCTACATGGGTGACCACCCCTAACATCTGCATACACAACACGCACACAGTACCTGTCATAGGTAGGTGAACAAAAGCTACTATAGAGAAGAAATGAGAAAATGAGGTCACCATTCATCCCTTGAAGAACATGTTTTGGGTTGCAAGGGAGTCTTAGCCCTGCCCTGAAGACACAGTCAAGTTCAAATTCTCTTGCCCTTGTTTGTTGTTCAGAAGGAAGGTGTTGCCGTAGCTTCCAAATGCCTGGGACCTGCTCCCAGTGCATTCATGTCATAAAAGATGGCCAGGACTACATTCCCTCCCAGTCAAGCTGAAGACACAGCAGGTGGGCAAAATTCATTTAAAAAATATGTATGCACTAGGAGAGAGGTCGATGTGTTTTGGTTTGGAACATTTGGTTTGCTCTAGAAGGTAGTATGTCTGGGTAAAAGTGGCCTGTAACCATCTTAGAAAGGAAGAAAGATAGGTGGCCAACTGCCCATCATTGAGAGGCAAAAAGGTGACAACGGGCATTAATTATAAGCTAAGATGGGGTTTAGAGAACTCCAGGGTTTCAATGCATGATTTGTGCTCTTACATGCAGAATCATGCAGCAAGTCTCTAGGGAACATCATGTATGCTCTGTCCTCCTCCATATAGATCTCTGAGTCTGGCCTGGATGATTTAAACACACATTATCTAGGCTTTCCCCCAAAGGGTCTGATCTGAGAAACATGAAAAAACTTTCCCTGAATGCAGATATTCACTTTGTAGAGCAGACAGAGCACTTGGACTTCCAACTTTGGTCTCTTTAATCAGTAAAGTTATCAATGGACATGAGACGCCTATTCTGAGCCAGGAAAAGAGGATGTCATAATGTCAAATGGAGGTTCACATGTAGCAGGAAAAAGAAAATATAGGTCAAAGGTCATGGTGCATTAGGGCGTGTGCTGTAGCAAGTTACCATGGAGGACAATGTAAAAGCTTTAAGAAAGGACCTGTTTATTCCACTTTGGTGCAGTATTAGGGGTGTTTGGAGGGAAAACAATAGAGTACCAGTTGATGTCCTGAGAGAAGGATCATGGGAATATCTGACAAGCTGTGAAAGATAAGTATCTTAGTGTTGTTCTGCTAGCAGCCATTCGAATCCACTCAAAGAAGTGAGGTCTAAGTAGTCACAAAATGGTACCCAAAAGAATGTCTGGTATGCTGTTGTTTACCCTAAGGCATAGAAGCCTCAGAGCAGTTGGAGGAAAAGTTCTTAGATGTGCGCTGTCAGTCACCAGAGGGTGAGCCACTGACTCAGACAACAGGCTGACTCATAAGATTAGCTAGACCCAGCATTGCGCTTCCATTCCAAACAAAGGAAAAATGGCATATAATATAAAGTACTGAAAATGAGTTCTTTTGCAAGGTACAAGAGCTAGGGTTCTGATGGGTGACTTTACTAACGTTGATGAGCCTAGAAGACCATCAGGTTTGAGGCAGTGGGTTCTCCTTGGGAAGAGAAGTAGACCAAAGGATTTGGAAGGATTGGGTCCCTGCTGAGCTGTGAAAGGATAGGTAAAAGAAAGGTTTCTGGAGAGTGGGGTCAGAAGCACTGAAGACAGGTGGGCTTACAGTTCCATTAAAGGCCGTGTTTGCTAGATTCCTCTGTGAGGTGGTGGGGGGCTTGGAATGTGACTCGTCCCAGTGACATGAGATTATGTGATTATTCTTGGCCAGATAGGATGGATTTCCTTGTCATGCCAGTTTCTCTAGCAATTTCAAGTATCTTTTATTGGCTTATGTGTCCATGAAACCTCTGGCACAGGCAGAAAGAGAGGGGTGGGCATCTCCAGGGGCAGGGGATTCTACAGATCTTCTGGAAGAGAGAGCCAATGTTCATATATATATATATATCATTGAGCACACCAACTAGCTGTGGTCCAGGGAGATCAGGAGGAACCAGGCAGGTTGCTATGCATGAGAAGGAGGTTCATGAGAAACATCTCTGAGCAAGAATTCTCAACATCTTTGGCTTGCAGGACAGCAATGATAGACCATATTTTGAGTTATGTTCTTTATAAAAGTAAGAAAGATCACTGGGGTGGGTCAAACAGTCCCTTTTCTCCAAAGGACTCAAAGCGTCAATCTTGACCTTGAACTTTCAGCCTCCAGAAGTTGAGAAAGGAACTTCCTGCTGCTCATTGCATGGCTCTACTTGAGTGGTGGTATTTACTGAACTTTTTTTGTTTCTTTTGTTTTGTTTTTTGTCTTTCGAGACAGGGTTTCTCTGTGGCTTTGGAACCTGTCCTGGAATTCGATCTTGCAGACCAGGCTGGCCTTGAACTCACAGAGATCCTGCCTGCCTCTGCATCCCGAGTGCTTATTTACTGAACTTTAACCTGCATCTGAGTACAATGCAGATGACAGCCTAGCCTAGAGAAAAGAGGAAGTGTGCTCAGTCTCTCAACTGAGCTAAAAGAGTTGTTTCCCCAAGGGTGTTTAGGAATCAATACCATTTTATACCAACAATGGTAGGGAACCACCTATATCCTCAGAGGCAATTTACAAGGTGGTAAAGACCCTAACCACAGAAACAAAAATGCATGTTTTCAAATCTTGGCTTTCCTTATACTTTCCAAGTTGTACCCTGCCTCAGCTTTTCAATCTGTAAAATGGGGAATGCACAATCATTGTCCAATAGCATACAAGCAAAGCCATGTCACACATACAGGGGACAACTCAGTAGATCTATCTCCACATGTATTTACTGCTACCATCTCTATTGGTCTTTCCTGTTAACTGAGATTCTAGTCCTGCTTTGTTGGCTCTCATCATGGCCAAAGGAAAAGGGCAAAGTGGAAAAGGCCAAAGATA